CATGCCCCCAACAGGGGACCTGGCCTGCAACCTAGGCATGTGCCCTGACTGGTAATTGAACGGGCGACCTTTCAGTTCGCAGGCCAGAACTCAATCTACTGAGCCATGCCAGCCAGGGCTATATGACTTTTATTTGAAAATGTCAATATTTATATATTGGAATTTATAACCTTTATAGCTATTTAAACATTAAAGTAATTATAAAATATTTTGGAAGTTATCTAAAAAATATGTGAAGGTTTTATAATTTTTCAAAATCTGACTGCTATTAATGTAATGCAGTGATTGGTCTATAAACATGAACAAACTTTGATGACAATGCAGAATTACTGTCAATGTACGTTTATGTTCAATCTTCTAACCATTCTTTAAAGTTGTATCTTCTACAGACTGGTGGAAAATATCAGTCATTGAAATTCATGCAACTTCTCAAATGTTTTCCCTTAAATTTGAATCTGAATGAAGCATGACAGAACAAGAGACTTTAGATCTGATATCCCTCACTTTTCTGAATTTGCAGATGTTCTATGCAAGAAATTATCAAACAGTATAATTCTGAGATACTAGACAGGGCATTATCTCCCTCAGCGTCACCATTAAGCTGCAAGTGTTTCCTTCTGTCAAAAGAGGTTTAAACTCCTGTTGCTGTGGTCAACGAAAAGTGCTGATTCCTGGTGTTGCAGAGAGAATGAAGCTCCCAAAGAGAAGTGAGACAAGGTGAGAGAGAGAGAGAGAGCAAGCGAGTATTAAAGCTCCACGCTGTCGGTTTTGTTAAAAACCAAAGCAGGATACACATGTTAGCAAAGCATATTAGTAAGAAGCAAAATATTGGTGATATTATTTGAGCATTTGGATCCAGCCCTTCCTAAAAAGGAGTTAACCTGGCTTTTCAGAATTTTTTAGCAGCAGCATTTTTGTTTTTTGCTTTAGTTACTTCAATCTGCATTCTCTCTTATTTGCATACAGATTTATGTGAAAGCATTTTTTATTTCTCAATTTTACTTATAATAACCCCAGTTTGGTAATAATATACTTATGCTCACCTGTTAAAGTTATTGATTGAGTAAACTAATGTATATTCCAAAGATGTAAACTTTCATAGCTCTGGGAACTTATGTTATGGGCAAACTATTCATTTATGTGGGAAAGTATTCAGAATATGTTAGCTTTTTGCTGGAGGAAAAAATTGGAAAAGAGCATTGATACCAATACTCAGATATATGAAACAAATTTTAAGAAGTTCCCCCCAAAAGAATTTTCCTGTGATAATTTAGAAAGGTTATAAATTTCTTTTAAACTGTTGCATTTTTCATTGAGTTACATAGCATGGCCCTAGGGACGTTTATTAATGCCTACCAAAAACTGTATATTAAAATTGAAGTATTATTGGAAAATGTATTGGACAAGGTTAACATATTGGATATCCACAAAGGAAATAATTATAAACTGATGTTAAAAAGGCACAAATTCCCTATGTAAAAAAATCAATAATGGTAACAATGTTAATTTTACTTCAAAACTTATTAAGAAAGATAAATCAAATCAGGTAGTATGCAACTACTATCTTAGAAAAAGTGAGAACAGGCTGTATATACTTATACTCAGTGCAGCATTGTTTTCATGCATGTATTTCTTTCTCATAGTCTATCTATGTGTCTATCAAATAAATGACACTGAGAGATGGTAGCATTTTGCCACTCTTTGGGGGCAGAAAAAGGTCTATTGATTAATGAGCTATACATACAATGTGTGATCCTAAGTAAGTTAACCTTTTTGAGCTTTAAGTTTCTCATATAAAAATGGGATATTAATAGTACCTACAGCATAGATTTCTTGAAACTACTAAATGAAATAATATATGTTATGCATCTATTAAAATGTGGGGCACATCTGCATACTCAGTATGTTAGCTACTACTACCATTATTACTGCCAATGTAATATTTTCATTACTATTAATTATCCATATGCCAAATAGTCTCTTTTTCTTTGAGTTAGTCCAGAGTCCCTAGTTAACATAGCTATAAGGATGGCAATATAGAAAAGTTATTATTTTTTATTTTATCAGGTTTAATGAGAAAAATATTATTGACTAATTAACTTCATTTAAAAAACTTAAAAAATTCATAGCTGTCAATTAAGGAATGTTGTAGGCATTGTTGCTCAATAAGCATAGGAATAAACAAATAAAATTCAGCCCCTGATGACTACAGCTTGCATTTTAATGGGGATACAGTGAAAAATACATGTATAAAAATACATATTAAAGACATATAAAAAGACATATAAAGTGTTACATTTGCTACATTAGGAACATGCATAGAGTTTTAGTTAGGGTTAAAAAAGAGGAAGTGGTCAGTTCTACGTGGGCAAGACAGTAAGGACAAAGATTCAGGGAAGATGGGAAGCCTGAGAACAACTTGCATCATAGTGAAGTGGTTGAGCGGTAGGCCCTCCATACTGAGGCACCGTGCCCACCAAGGCAGCGCCGCAGGACACAGTTTCCTGGGCTGGGATGATGGGGGCAAACAGAAGGAGGGCAAGGGGAGCATGGCAACGAGTGAGGCCGAATTATTCATCAGGGGATTAATCAGTTCCAGTACATAGTTTTTGATCATTTACCCTGTCAGGTGCTGGGGATACTGTAGTGGCCTCTGTTTTTTGGTCTCAGCTTTATTGAGATATAATTGTCATATAATACTGTGTAAGTTCAAGGGTAAAATGTGTTGATTTGATATATTTATATATTGCAGGATGATGGCCACCATAGTGTTAGCTAACACCTACCTCACATAATTACCATTTCTTATTTGCGGTGAAAATATTTAAGATGTACTTTCTTAGCAACTTTCAAGTATATAATACAGTATTATTAACTAAAATCACCATGCTGTACATTAGACTCCCAGAACTTACTCATTTTATACCTGCAAGTTCATACCCTTTGAGTGGTCTCTCCTTTGATGGGACTTACATTCCAAAAAATAACAGGTTCCTTCTGTGGGAAATGGGGCTTTAGTGAAGGGGAATGAACACCATCAGATTCTTATCATAGGCAGGTCACTCGGGTGACTATGTGAAGGCGTGTTTGAAAGGGGACAAAACTCAGGACAGAGAGACTAGATAGATGATTATTTATTAATTTACATGAGAGCAGCTATACAAAGGCACTAGAAGCAAGGGTGAAGAGAAGAAATAAGCTTTGATATGAAACTTGGTAACTGGCTTGGTGACTAATTGGACTGAGGCATAAAAGAGAGGGTAAAATATGAGTGACACAGAGTATTTTGACTTATGTGAGAGGCGATACTTTCACTGAGTTTGTTTTCTAATCCACTTTGCAAGACATTGAAGAGCCTAAGGTACTGAGCCTGGGCAAGAGCGTGGTATCTAGGAACTATGGTTGGAAGGGGTGTGTCAAGAATGAGCGGTGGGAGTAGGTGGGATTGTGGGTACTGGGGAGGCATAGCTTGCCCTGGGCTGTGGCATCTAAAACTAAATGGGAGTGCTCCAGATGGCTCCAAGCTACTTAAGGAGACTAGGAGGGTAGTCCAAAGCTATAAGGGTGTGGACCTATGGCAGGCAATAGGAGCTCCTAACGGGGACATAGTGAACTCACAGGAGGTCCAGAATGTCCTTTGCATGGCACCAGCTCTGGTTTTAGGTCCAGTTTGGGTACTAATCCCTTGTGCCAGTACTAATAGTTGGGGGATGGCAAGGTATTCTTGTAAATGCTTATTTTTAGTTATTATTTAGTAACCTGCCTTTGGTAACCCTTGGCCTCTTCCAACTTCAATAACTTCCACCACTCATTCTAAACATATCTCCAACCTCAGCTCTGGAGACCACTCATCAGACAACTATTTCAGTCGTGGAGTATCTTACCCAACTCTCTACCACTCATTCAATGTGGACAGATAGAACGAAAGGCTCCACGGGGTAGGGGTGGGGGGCCTTAACAGTAAAAGCTACGTAGTGGGAGGTTGTGGACATATAAAGAAACGTTGGTGTTATTTTGTCCATTTAATTCGTCCGTTAACATAAGCAAATGGGAATCCTTTCCAGGGCCAGGCTTCCCAGTTTCTCAGGGGATCTGAGGTGGTGAGTCTGGTGATGGAAGCTGCTTGGCCCCAAGTTTAGACCTGGTTCTTTCAAATGATTGTCTCATCAGAAGCAAGTATAGAATCACCAGAAGCACACCTGTTTGGGGGTGAGTCCTAGCAGCACATGAAATCCTACTTGACAGTTGTTTGTTCTTTTCTCTCATCTTTTAAGATAAGACAAATGGTGCATTAAATAAATTTAAGATATACATGGTAAAATTAGATTAAAGTAAAAAGGAAAGACTGATCAACTGGAAGATAGAGAGAGAGAGACGTGATAGAGTTTTTCACATTGTTTTCTAATTAGAAAGAAGATGTATACCAAAAAATTAGATAACCTAAGCTGAGAGGTAGAGGGTGGAAAAATTCTACAAACTCAACAATGGCAGATTTTATTGTACTCATGAGTAAGGCTGAGGAGGGAAAAATAAAGAAAAAAATAATTGTGGAAAAAATGAAAAAATTCAGTTTTGGATATGGTGACTTCATTGTGATTGTGGGACATGCAGATTGATAATAATGAGAGTGATTTGCACTCTGAAAAGATTAAGACAAGATTATTGGAAATAGCTTTAGTTCAGACTATGAGAGTCTCTGGATAGCAGTAAGGCAGTATCTGACCTGTCCTATGTAAACACTGGATTGTGAGTGTTAATTGAAATAAATGCATGTGAAGGTCCTTTGCATAACTATAAAGCATTGTGTGCATTCACTTTTTTTTATTACTATCTTGAGCAAAACAGCTTGTAGACATCATTTCTATGTTCCCTATAGTCAGACAGATTAGTATTTCTTTTCTCCAGAGCAGTGAACTATTTCCTCTCTCTGTTCCTGTTACACCTGACACAGGCGCTGAGGTCTGAGGTTTCTGTTTGCCTCTCTCTGTCACTCATCTCACTGTGCCCCTGAGAGCACAGAAATACACCGCTGCATCCTCCAGCTGGGAGTCTGAGATCCTGAGGCTGAAGTGTTTGCTTGCTTTCTGGAAGTTCACAGCGAAGCGTTTATCTGTTGCGTTTTGTTGTCTAAAAGCTTCTTGGAGGATAATGAAAATCATCTCCCCGCTGGGAGGCTGTTTGTACCAGAACAAATAATAATCACTTCCACTAGTGTCATATGTGCAGGCCAGGGTCGCAGTCTGTTCCTCCTGCACAGACATTTCTGGTTGAGGCTGAGTGACCGTCTGGGCCAGGCTGGATCCTGTGGGAAGGAGGACAGAAAGGACTGAGCTGGGTATGACACCAGAGAGACAAAGCAGCAGACTCAGAGCTGGTTCCCATCCCCACCTGCCTTTTTTCTTTTTGATCTAGACCTCAGGTAGGACATCTCAGCTTTCTGGCTCCCCATAGCTAGGCCCTGTGAGACAGGCAGGTCCTGTGATATTAATCTGCTCCTGTTTCTGAGCCCTATTAGAAAATATTATAAATAAAGACTTACACCTTCCTTACCGAGACATGTAGAGGCCACGACTGCCCACAGCAAGAGAGCAAGCGCCATGCTGACAGCTCTCCCTCAGAGTGAGACGTCTATGCTCTGCTCTGGGTGCCCCTCTCTGTGCTGGGCGACAGGAAGTAGTATTGCAGTCGGGGTGGGGGGTGACTGTGTCTCATTGAGGAGTTTTCTCAACACCTTTTAGTCTTTGAGAAAATAGCCCCTTGATTATAATTTTAAATGAAAATAAATAATGTTTTCTGAGTTCTTTCATCTAGGATGAAAATACAAATTAAGAGCTGGCAAATTAATTTCTGATAAGACCTAATCTTGGAGAGGAGACAGGACCTGGAATGGCAAGCAGAAGTGGCAGGGTTTCATTTGCAACGGTGGCAAAGTCTAAGTTTTCTTTCCTTTTAAAAATAAAAATGACAAAGCAAGTATCATATATACAAATAATTAATTATGGGTAATAAGACACTTGTTTTATTTATATATTCAATTTTTATATTTTTATAATTTCTCAAGAGAATGAAAAAAAGATGTTCGTGACTGAAAAGAGCACTGACTAAACTCAGAAACTCCCTATGTCATGTCTTATTGTGCTATTTTTTCCAAAGATACTTAAAAAAAATAAGCCCTTGTTGGTGCTCTATCAGGAAATTCTGAAGTAACTATTGAAAGAGGTCTCACCAGCACTAAATTGCGTCAAACAACTCTTTAAGAGTTGCTCTCACCACTTGTTCCATTTTGAGAAAACATTGTGAAAAAAACCTTTTTTTAAAAATAGTACCATAATTCATTAGAATTTTTCAAGTCCAGAGGGATTGACAGAGATACTTAATTCCAGAGTTGGATCCTTAGCTGTATGGACAAGGTCCCTCTATATTCCAGGCACTGTCTGAGCAGCATGGTTCTCTGTAACACAGTGCTAAGGGGCTGAGCCTCTCCACTCAGATGTGCAGGGAGTCGAGGGTGTTGGGACCTGCCCAAAATGAGGCTGCTGGAATTGTGCCCCAAAACCCAGTTTGATAGCAGTGGGAGAAGGGACAGCAGAATTTATTCTAGATCATCTCCTTTCTTGTCTTATTATTTGAATTCCTATATCTTTGTTTTGAATCTCCAAAAAGCAATTCCAATATGAGGATTTGTGTAAGCAGTTTATGTGCAAGTGATTCTATCAAACAATGGTAGGGAGTGAATGAGGGAAAAGAAGTAAGTCAATATAGGGTGTTGTCATTAACCAGTTATTACAATGGGAAACTGGACCTTAACCCAGCTGGGTAACTCTGGGATTCAGTATAACATATCCTTTGCAGTTACCCGAAGTGAGGCATGAAGGAGCTGGGAAGATCTATAAACTCACTATCCATTGCTGGCTGAGGGCTGCTTTAGGAACTAAGCACCATCTTGAAGAACAGTTCCCCAACCTCTCTTGCTTAAGCTGAGCATTTAAGTTGTTCTTCTAATGTTCTGTTAGGCTAGTGGTTTGTGGATAACAGTCTATGTAGTAGGATCAGTATAGCCAGTGTCCTGTGCCCACTCTCACACCCTCTTGTACAAAGTGGGTCTGTTGAAGCAGAGGGATGGGAAATCCTTTCACGATCAGTCAGACACTCTGGGCCCTCAGTGTGTGCTGTTTTGTGTGGCACTGAGGAGGGAAAGGCAAACTCATACCTAGGGACATGTATCAACCCCAATAAAAAAAGATTCTGTCACCTCCAGGGTGGAAGCGGTCTAATGTAATAAACTTGACAATAGGTGGCTGGTGATCTCCTTCAGGGGGGATTCCATATTGAAGGCTCAGTGTGGTATCTACCACTGACAGGTTGACTATTTGGGAGCTGAAGTAGTGACATCCAGCTTGGTGAGAGAAAAGCATTCTCCTGGGCTCATGGAGAACCTCTATCTTGTCACCTTGGCTGTTCTGTTCACAGTTCAAGCACTGAAGGGGGCAGAGGCTGGTGACATCGTCTGCGTGGATTATCCTGCTCACCTGGTTATCCAGTGAACCCCCTGCAGGGGATGCTCTCCTGTGGGTATGGATGTAAGACATAATGACCCTAACAATTTGTGCCCACGCGCATTGCTCCTTCAGTTCATGGTCACCCTTAGTGTGGCTCCTCCTCCTCCTCCCACCCACCTACCCAGGGTTCTGACCTTAGGAAAGACAGGATGCTGGGCGCTTGTCACAGACTCACTGTTGATAACCTCTGGTCACACGCCTTTGGCTCTTCCCATTCAGCTGGTTGACGTTTTCCCCTCCTGAGGAGAAACCAGAATATCTGTCCTATTGCGGTTCCTTCTCATGGTGTCCTTCACAAACTTTACACCAGTTTGCCTCAGTTTTAGTACTTGACCTTCCAGATTGGTCTTTTTAGGATGTCAAAATATATTTTCCTTCATTACTGATGTTGAGGGTCATTTCTTTTAAGATATGGTGTTTTTAATATATATGTAAAATTCTACAAGGTAACTCAATGGCAAGAATTTTACTCTGTTTTCTCTTTGTTCTTTTCATGCTCACTCCTTTTTGACATTAAGCCTCAGGATTTTGGACTAGTTTTAACAGAGTAAGAACTTGACACTGAGAAACAGAATACATCAGATGCTATTTGACAATATTATGTATCTTTCTGCAAGTGTCTTCAAATGAAAAATATTTGATGTTATGCTATAAAAAAACCTGTCATTTTTCCCTTTGCTCAGAGCAAAGTTACAGTCAGTAAGTTTGCAGGGTTTAGGTGCAGGGTGCAGGTGCCTGAGCTGCACTGTGTGCCTGCTGCACACAGGAACGTGGTGGAGTCACGGAGCCAGGAATCCCTCATGTGCAGGGAAAAGTGCTGGCCCTCGGTGTTAAGCTTGGCTGTGAATTTTCCGCTGTTTTTTTCTTTCTCATTTGACCACATTTGCATCAGGTTGCTGAGGCCTTTCCCAGGATCCTGCCTGAACCACTGGAAGAAATCGAAACTGCGGTCTGTATAACTACAGTTCAGGGTGAAGCTCTCTCCTTCCAGGACTTTCAGGAAAGCTGGGCTCTGTTCCACCGGTGCTTGTTGTTTGGACCCTGGTCAGGAGGAGAGAATAGGTTTACATGCATAAGACACTGTTCTTTTTTTTCCCTCCCCTTAGTTGTTCTATTTTCCTTAGAATGAGGCCCAGGCTGTCCCTGGGATCCCTGGAGGTTTCTTTAGCAGCGGGGCCCCATTGCTCTCGCTCGGCCCTTCCCCCCCCTCCTCCCTCCCCCTCACTCACAGGTTGGCTGCACACACAGGAGCATCAGTGCAGCTCCCAGGGGAACCGCCATTCCTGCTTCTTCCTGCAGCCTCTGAGGGTTCAGGTCGGAGGCTTGGAACTGGCCGTGTTCAGGGGGCTTAGGTCTCTGTTCCAGATTCTTCTGCTTCTTTTGGTGTGGACACCCCCGGAGATCTTCATTCTCTTGTCACAACCAATCAAAGACTCACTTGTCACATAAAAGCCATCATGAAAACACCCCTCCTGGCTGCTCCTGCTCAGAGTTCTAGCTCCCAGCCTGTCCCTGCTGTCAGTGGAAGCGCTGCCCCCATGTGGTCTGAGCTTTCTCATTAAATTTTTTTCTTTCCATTTCCCCTTTAGTACAAACTAACTCATTCTGTTCCATGAAGGGAATTAGAACATAGAGAAAGGGGAAAAAGAAAACCCAAAAGATAGAAAACAAACATAGTCTCAAAGTGTCCCCTGGGGATGACTGTCTGAGTCTTCTTAGTGCCTGGTCCTCCCTTCCTCACCCTCCTCAGCTTCACGGCCCTCCGTGCGGGTTCTTTGCCTGTATGACTCTGGGCTGCATTCTGAGGGGTATAAAGAAAAGTTTGAGAGAACTGGGTGTTTCTCTCCATTGGTCGGGGTCCACCTTGCTTTGTTAAATTTCTTAACCGGAACAGTTTTAAATTAGTTAAAAGAATTAGACCTCTCACAAATTCTCTCTAAAAATATAAAGAAGGGAACTATAATACCGCTTTTAAAAATATATTCTCAGCTTTGACAGAACAACCTATGGGCTCAATCTGAGAATGCTAATGCTTTTGTAAATATCTAAGTCTCTTCTACATTTAGATCTGGACACCTGTATAAATCTGGCAGTTTCTCATGTTTTACATATTAGACACCTGAAACCCTATGGTCTCCTATGTTTTCAGCAAGAATTGGGGACACAAGAAGATGAGAGATTCAGGAAGAAAATTCCCCTCTATTATTTGCATTCAGCCCTCACTCTGATGACTCTAGGTACCTACTGAACCACATTTCCTCAGCTGCATCCCCTGGAGAAACTTTGGCCCTAGCAAGCCTATTGCCATCCATGCCCCTCTTCATTTCATACTACGGGCCTGAGGTAAGGGGCTGAGTGTCTGTGATGAGTAAAGCCGTGACCTTCTTTGATGTTAATTGCATATGCCAGTCTTCCGTTCTTCATATGTGAAGCAATATAAAATAGGGAGACTGCCGCTTCTAGCTTTATTCCTGGAGCACTGTTTAACTGCAGCTCAGTTAGGAGTTAGCACCCTCTCAGAGATGCAGGTTGATATGAACTGTGCTTTACCTTCTCCTGCCCTCTCATTGCTGCTTGGGAAAAAAACAACAGGCACATGGGGGTGCTGTAGGGGAAGCTGGTTGTTTGTAAATTGCTACACTTTCTTGGGCATATGATTGTTTTTTTTTCCCAACTTGAACAGTTGGCAAATCACATCAAGTCTGCCACTGCAGAAAAGCTAGCAAAACTTCTAGGTGTCTTAAGATTTTCTCTCAACTGATTAGAACATTTAAGAATGTGTTCAATAAAAGAATTTTAGTCTGGGAAGAGAGGAAGGAGTAACATTTACAGGAGAGTTTCCCTTGGAATTGTCTTCTCCCCTGTCTCAGACGTGGTGACATTAACATTCCAGATCATTACCAGCAGGAATAGCGATAGTGAAAGGTGATTAACAATTTTCCCAGGCAATGATACACAAGGGTTGTGCAGGCCAACAATAAATGATGAGTGTCTCTTATGTATTTATTCACATTAATCATTTGGGATATTTATTAAAATG